TTTTTTTTTTTTTTTTTTTTTTTTGAGTATTGTTCCAATTCTATAATTTGGCGAAATCAGAGAAGAGAAACCGGAAATTCCGGTGGAAGTGCCTGGCATTCTTAACAGACCCCAAAGCTTTATATATGGACTACATTTAACATTTTTCCCTCTCTCCTCCTCCATCTCCCTATTTTCTCTTTCTGCCGTCAAAGATCTCAGAAGCTCAAAGCGATCACTCAGAAGGTGCTCGAACTAGACCTCGATTCTTTTAGAGTATAACCATATGCTCTTCTTTCGTAACTATTTTATTCGCCGTGAATTATGTTTTTGATTTCTTTAAACGTCCAATGGAATTACGATTTCCCTGTTTCGTCGTTAGAAATTTCGCTCTGAGCCAACGTTTTCATGTACTTTCTCTTTGATTTGATCAGTTGATTTTCTGGATTATTTTGAGTGCATCGATCGATTATTCAGACGATGACTGCACAAAATTTTGTTTTAGAAAAGAAAAAGAAGTGAATTAGAAAGATAATGGACGCTTTGGTGTTTTTTTTGGGGGGATTTCTGGTTATATTGTGACGTAAATCAACAATGCTTAAGTACTAAACGTTCTGATCTATGGAGATTTCGAATTCCATTTTCCTTTGTTCTGCACGGTTCTTTTTTTCTTGTTCATTTGATCTAAAATGTCGAGAAAGCTGTAGGCATATATAGATTTCTTTTCCGCTTCTTCTTCAAGTATCCTACCGGAATTTTTATCTTAAGCTATCAGTATGTTTTTCTATCCGAATGTTGACGTGCATAAAATTGCATGAGAGTATGACCACACACACACTTGACACTTCTTGGAACAGTGAAGTAAGCGCAGTATACTACATTCACGGTTAATTTTGAATATTGTGTTATACTTGTGTTGAATCGTTGATTGCTATTTTTCAATAAGTTACTGTTTCCTGAGGGTCATATTTTGATTTTAATCTCTGGAAATAATTCCGCCTGTGTTAGTTTCGAATTGTAAGACTGGATTATTCCTACAATTCTGATAGAAATTATAAGCAGAGCCTTATCTAAGCCTTATCCATCAAAGTGTAGCGTTTCTCCGACCAGTGAAGAGATGAGCAATCTGGACGTGTTTTAGAATTCCAAAACTAATTCAAATTCATAAGAAAATAGATTATTGACACTTTCGAAATTCAGATTGGTACAGAGAAATGGTAAAAATTTTAGATTGGCTTCTACAATCAAGTTTCTGATTTCAGATGTTAAAGATATATTTTTGCAGTCTACTTCGACTTCCTTTCTTCTGCCCCCAGTTCCTCTCCAGGAAATATTTAGCAGTCCGTTGTTGACGCTGACTTGATAAAGGAGCATCCAGCGTATTCGGTAATTGTAATTTCCGATATGGAACTTGGAAAGGTAGTGTATGCAATGAAGAAATCAAAGAACTTGGGATTTCTTAAAAAGATGGAAAGATCCATCTTACAAGAACTAAAAAACAAACAGCAATGGGGATAACAACAACCAAAATAAGCAAAAACACTAGCAAAATCCCCAAACACATACATTTCCTACTATTCCTTTGCAAATCCTTAGCAGTTTTCAAATCCATAGCCCCATGACATGCTATGAAGCATTCATCACATTGTGTTCAATGTTATCCATTTCCTGCCCTTGTGCCTCCGCCATCACTGACATGTCCAAAAACTCTTTGTGCAGCTCTAGCAAGCGCTTCTCTATCTCCTTCACCACCCCGTGTCGGACCTGTATCTCCTTCATCGTCTCTGCCACCTTTCCCTGCCCGTGTTCCTCTATCGCCCTCCCCAAAAACTCCTCCCTGCCACTCAATATTATCTTCTCTGTCACCTCCTCATTCGGGTGCTCTCCTGTCACCGTGAAGTATCTTTGCCAGACCGTTTCCTTGTACTCAGTCATCATCCTCTGCCTTAGGCTCTGAAACTCCATCATCAGCTCCTTTACCTTCTTTCGCCACCCATTTGTCACCACGATTTGAGTCCTGAGAATTCATTAAATTTACTACAACTCATCCACTTCATAGTTTTTTTATATGCGTAATTAAGTAGTCTTCTATAAATCATTTAAATTTTGTAAAAATACATGATTACTACCAATAAAATGTGAACTTTTTTGCGTTGAGTGGTAGTTCAAGTGTAGCTGTAAACGGCAGTGCCCTCTTTGCTGCCGGAGAGCCTTTTCCTTTAGAAATACTCCAGACAAGTATCTGGTGTTATAATTCAATGAGTCCAAATTAAGACCTTGGACATGACCATAGCGCAAGGACTTTATCGGCCTATTTTGTCCTAGAATCATCCTTGGACAGTTTATGAGAAATCACCATTGAGAATGGCTCAAGATTTCAAGCATTCTTTGCTGGAGCCTTCACTGAATTTCTATTTTATTTTGCATATGATCATTAGGAAATATGTTATCCAATTAGGAGTTTTATCACCTAGTCTGATCCAAATTATGTGTGAAGGAACTTAGTCAAACTAGTTGATTTTTTTTTTTTTTTCTTCCTTTTCACTTCAGACATCCCGTAGGCTGGAGGATCTTCGCGAAAATCAGAGCTCAGAAATGAAGCATGAGACAGAAACTAAGTTTCCCAAGACTGAGCAATTGATTCATGAACCATCTGTGGAACAGAAATATAACCAGGGAGAACAGTATAGTCCAGAAAATGGCCTTTCTGATCCTGACATGGGCTCTGTTGTTTCACCTAATATCTCAAATGTATGTTCTACTTCTACTACCAAACAACTGTTATTTGTTGTTCTAGACTTGTTGGTTGCTGAACTACTATTGAGGCATGTTTGGATGTAATTTTGAAATGGTTAAAATCATCTTTTTAATCATTCAAAATAACTCTCAACGATATGTAAATCGATTGATTCAATCCCAAACATGCTCTTAGTGTGTGGTAGAATTATTAACAGAATTGACATTGCAGTATTCGTGTTCGATGGACATTCTTTCCAATGATGAACTTGGCTTCCTAGAACTGCAAAATTTAAATAATATCATGAAAGCCGCTTACAAGGAATTCATGACAATAGCTGTCACTGCAAACGCTTGGGTTTTCCATCCTCCAGTGGTAGGTTCAGTAGAGGATATACAAGAGATGTTCCACACTCCACCACCTCAGGGATCTATAGTGGAATGCTCCGTTGTGAGTGTAGTTTTCCCTGTTACTTCACGTTTGCTGACCTCGATAATGATGGATGCGGTAAGATATCCTTAACCCGGCTTTGATTCTCTATAATCTCATCTGCCGTGTAAGTTCTTTCATACCACATTCGATCATTTGTTTATTTTGTTTTGGGCCAAAATTTTTGTAAGTTAAAAAAGTGATAGGTTTGTGATATATGTATATTTAATATTTGGTTAAGTTACAAATCGATCCACGAAAGTTAGAATTTAGTTAATATGATTTAATGTATTATAATTTGTCTTTAAGACAATTTATGAGATTTTTATCGAACCATAGAAACTATTTATTAGATTTTATCAAACTATAAGAATGAAATTCATTGGGACCAAAGTTGTAATTTACATTAATCTTTTGTATATGTTCTTACATAATCCACACTATTTACAGGAGCGATGGGCTTCAATGTTTTCCAACATAATTTGTTATGGATCAGAGGAAGCTGTTGTCGCTCCTTTGAAAACATTATGGACAACAGATACTTTGGAAGTGATACTGGTAACCAACCTGCTCGATCCCATTTTTTTTCTTAGACGCTGGATGAGATAACTCGTCAACATGGAAAACAAAACGTATTAACTTTTTATCATGTGATAGGTCAATGCCGAGTTTAGACTGCCAGCTGAATACCTGCCAAGAGGGAGAATTCGCTTTTTGAGATTTAAGAAAATGATCGTGCCAGATACATGGGCAATTTTCGATGTGTCCACTGATTATTTCGATGATGCAATCTCTGATCCTGCCCAGAAAATTGCATACAGGCGGAGGCCATCAGGAGTGATCATTCGGCAGCGTGGTTTTCATTGTGAGGTTTGTTTACAGAAGACCATGATCTTTGAGTAACTGCTTTGGAGTATTATCGCACAACTTTTATGATATATGCATACGAAAAATATTGATATGTTGTCAATATAAACAGAGTTCTAACTCATATATATATATATATATGATTGATTAAGAAAGTTAGAGGTTCGAATATCTAATATTGAACTTAAAAAATAATCTATATAGAAATATGTCGTATACGTTTCCCTATGTGTATAACATTTAAAAATGTAGATATTAGAAGGCCAAAATAGGATTGAAACTCCACATTTTTAGTTATTATGCTTGACCTTTGTTTTCTGTTTTTTGTATTACAGGCTATATGGATTGAAAATTCAGTGGTACAGGAGATTGATATCCCAAAAAATATATGCTCAACATTCACTTCGAACTTTCCTTTAACTGCAGAGCACTGGGTCAGCATGTTATCACAAAATTTGAAACGTAGACGTAGCAAGGTAGTAACTTCAGAGATGTTCGATGAAATCCACGGTATGGTGTACGCTCTTATTTTCCAAGTTCATGACTGCTCTCTCAATATTGTTCATCGTTGAAGCATCTGCATTTTTTTTTTTTAAAGTTAAATTCTCATACTATTTGATTAATGGAATAACAGGTTTACCAAATCTCTTGGTAATTGGGGATAGCCTGAGGAAAGTCTATATAGAAACAGTTAGTCCCTTTCCAAGGGAAAAAACTTGGGATTTATTTTCTGATGATAAAGTAAGGATCCTGAGAGACATGAATGCACATAGCAGTGGCTATCCCAATGATTACATTGCCTCAACTACCATATATATCCCACAAACCCCCCTCAGACTCTTAACATATATGGACACAAATAATGTGAAACTTCAGGTACGCTCCTTAGCTTGAGTTTTAAACGTTAAGAACAATTCAGAAAAATGCTTACTAACATGACTACATACAGTGGTTGAGCATAAAATCACAGGCACAGCTCAAGACGTCGGTTGTATTTTTCTCAGAAGATGAAAGTAACTGCATTAGTTTACGTGCAAAAGTCGACACAGGAGATGGCGAGGTCGTGGAGGTGATTCTCTATACATCAGCATCTCAACCTGATCCTTCCCCAAAACTTTTGTACTTCAATTTTATGTTTGTTTTTTGCAACAGGCCCTTGAATTCTTCGTACAAGAGACTTCATTGGATGAATATTGTTCCTTCGTCATATCGTCACGAATGTCAGAAGCAGATGTTCATCTCTCTCTCATACCGAGGTTTTGTAAGGAAAGTTTGTGTCTGAGACCTTCTGGTTTTGCCATAATGCCTGCTGGACCGGGAGGTCTACAGTCCAACGCGTCCTTGGTGACGATATGCATTCGCCGAGAGCTCGAAAATATGAAAGTTGATCGAGTAATTGAAGAAATGAGTGGTTACATGAATGCTGTCGTTGATCAGATAACTCATATCCAATCTCCAAACGTCGTTGAAGATGATCTGAACTCTGAATGGAATAATACTACAACCCTTTAATGGTGAGATAGAATAAAACTCAGGTAACGAGGAAACCTTTCATTTTCATGCACAATTGTTTCTATTCTTTTCCCTATTCGTTCTACTACTAGCATTGAACCTATGATGACGTCCTAGGCTACAATTTATGCAGGTTTGTTTCTTCAATTTGTAGGGAGTTTCCATTTCTTGCTTTTTTTTCTTTACTTGAATGTTCGCACATTATCCTTTCAATACTCTAAAAGAAAGAGGGTTTTTATGGTTAGTAAATTTGTTTATTCATTAACCATGGAGAGTTTTTTTTTGTAATTTTTACTAATCTTGGAAGTTAAGTTCCAATTAAATAATTTTTATGTGATTATGAGTTTAATTTCATAGTCTTAAAATCATACAAACACTTCTCCTTACCACTCTTTTAACACACAGCTCAATTAAAGAGTATTCTCTTCTTCTTTCAAGAATCTTTGACCAAAGTTGGAGTGTTGTTTGTTGTGGAACTTCAAAGTTCAAGCTTTTTGGGCATAATTAAAGAGTATGCATCTTAATTTATTTATTTTGGTATTTATTTCTCAATATATTAAATTCAGTTTTTTTTATCATCTTTATATTTTATTAGTTAGAAAGTTAATTGGAGAGGTGAACCCATATGATGATAAATATAGACTGAACTTTTATCTCAGGTACTATTTATTTTGTGTTTGCTATTCATTACATTAAATATATAATTTTTTAGAAAATTATTAATGATTGAGAATAGTTTTTACATATGGTCATTATTAAATTTGTGTGACATTAGCCTATTAATCTATCTATCACTTTATATTAATTTAATTGACCTGTTATTATTAGTTGTTTAATTGGTGAGGTCAATCAATATTTTATAATTAAAACTTTTTATATATGGAATGGAATTGAAAGTATACTAACAAAATAGTATTTTCTCCAATTTAAATTTATAATTATAAATGAAATTGATTTTTTTTTTGTTTTTTTTTTTGTGAAGAATAATATTAAATGCATAATAATAGAGATGGCAATGAATCATGCTTGGGAACAAGTTGACCTAAAAAGATATAATTAAAAAAGGAAGCATGCTTGGACCAATTGTTATACTTATTTAATAAAACAAATAGTAATTAGTATCCATAACTAAGACACTTATTACCTTCCTAATTTGAAATAATTAGTTTTTTTTTAATAATTAATATTTTTCTTAAAAGATTCAAAATAACAGAAAAGGACAAAAAAAAGGGTCACAATTCCCTCCAACAACACCTCCATATTTAACAAGGAAAAAACTTAATAATTTCCTCATTAGATACCGATTGAGAATGCATTGCTCCTCTCTTTATATGGAACTTCCCCTTTTGGCCATTACAGATGAGCGTATTGCTCTTTAAACCATTATTCAACGACCAAGCTTCAGGCAACCATCGGCGGCTCCTCCACTTCCTCCGTCGTTGTTTATCGCCGGAATTTCAGATGCTGACCAAAACCGCCGTCGTTTCATCCGCTGCCAGAGTAAGTATAATTTCTTATTTTAGATGAATAAATACCGCCCTTATTTATTTATTTATTTAATTAATTATAACATAAGTGTAGGTCAGATAAATGAATTCCTAAACAAATGTTAATCAAACCCAAACGACTGTGTTTAGAATTCTTCGTTGCTCTCCATTGGCTTATACATTCTCAATGTATATTGCTATATTTTAATATACAATGAGATTCTAATTTTAATATTTAAATTAAAATATTTTTTAATTATTAGAGATTATGTTTTAATATTAAAATTATAAATTTTAGAAATAATGTTAGATAAAATATTATATATATATATATATATATTTCCTTATAAAATATATTTATTTATTAGAATTATTTTATAATTTTCTACGAAGATTATATCGACGGAAACTTTAAAATAATTATTTTTAAATAGAATAATAAATGAGAAATATTATCTACTAGATCATTAGATGAAAATTTTGGAAGTGGCTAGAATGGGAACGAGGAAAGTTTAGATGAAAAATTTGGAAGTGGCTAGGATGGGAACGAGGAAAGTTTAGATGAAAATTTTGGAAGTGGCTAGGATGGGAACGAGGAAAGTTTCTTTGTCCCCACTACATCTCGTAGGCATCTCTAATTGAAACCTACTAATTTAAGGATATTTGTATGAAATTAATGTATCACACTCATTAATAAATATCTCAAAACTCACAATATTTATATTAAAAATTAAATTAATTTTTATTTTTTCTCAATCGAGTGGAGAAGGTAACTAACTAAATATCCAAATAGCTAATTAGAAATTAGAAACAACATATATAAAAACTTAAACACAATCTTTAACTAACTAAATATCCAAATAGCCAATTATAGAAAATTCCAATTTAAAAAGACCTCTAATATTTTTTAAAAACTAAAAGATACTCTCACCGAATTTAAAAAATATTTTGTTATTTTTCAAAATTTTAAATACTCTTGCTCAAAAATATTCTTACTCGAAATTGCTTATTCTCTCATCTTTCTTCCACCATGAAAATGAATGAAAATAATAAATAATCAGCATTTAAAACCATCAATTTGACTAAATAAATTCTAAAAACGTCTATAATTATAATGTTTATTTTATTGAACTAAAATTAATAATTTATAGGTATTTTTTTAATTATTTGGACTAATTGAAAAGTAGAGAGTAATAAACGATGCATCTTTCCGACTGCGCAAGAAAGACACTGAATTATTTTTCTCCGAGATTTAATATTTTATATACATATTTAAAAATATTTGTTGATTTCTTTTTCTCCAAGATTTAATTCAATATACATATATTCTAAAATCTTGGCTTCTTCTTCATCAGGAAGCCATGGCGATGAACAGCAGCAGCTACTTACCAGAGGACATCATAATTGAAATTCTTCGCCACTTCTCTCTAAGATCTCTCGCTAAAGCAAACTGTGTCTCTAAGCTCTGGCAAACCCATATTTCCACCATACCTCTCCTTCTTCATGCCGCCATTTCCTCTCCTCTGCACCATGGCTTCTTCTTTCAGGGCTCCACCATCAGCAAAAATGGCGTCCCGATTCACTTCTTCCCTTCCTCTCTCAATATTCTTAACACCCATTTCTATAAACTGATTGCCTCTAGCAACGGCCTTCTTCTCTGCGGCAAATCCAATCAAAACCCTATTGTCAACTACTCTGTCTGGAATCCCACCTCCAATCGCCTGATTCCAATCCCAAAACCAAGGAATCTCTTCACCGGCGTTAAGATCGGATTCCATTCCCACGATTCTGTTTCGTTCACCATTCTTCGATTTGGGAATTTAGGGCTCGAACCGATGGAGATTTTCTCGTCTGAAACAGGGGAATGGCGGCACTTGGCCTTCAATTTGGCGATGGATTCATTGTTTTTGCCCTTCGAAGGGCCGTCGGCGGTGGTTCTAAACGGGGTGTTTTACTGGCTGGAGTTTCGATCGATGATTTACGCTTTCGATTTGCTCAAAAACGAATTTCTGAAAGTGGGATTTCCATTTGAGGAACCGGAGTATCGCCGGGAAGTATTCTCCCGTTGCCTCGCCGTCGCGGGTGGGGAGGTGGTGATGGCGTCGACCAACGGCGAGGTTATTGAGATTTGGATTCTTCAGGATAAGGCATCGTCTTTGTGGGGTTTGAAGAGTAGATTAAACGTTGAAAGTCTCGTTGGCATTATCGCAAACACCTTGTGCGCAAGGGCGGCGACGGCGGCGGTTGGGCGGAGAATTGTTGGGATTGTGGGGTTTCAGGCATGGGATTCGGAAAGGATTTACTTGAACACGACGGAGGTAGTGGTTTGTTGTGATATTGGAAGTGGGAAAGTTGAGATTGTTCACCGATTTGATGAGAGCTTGGGATGTACGGATGTTTCTGACTTCATGTTCTTACCTTACGAGTGTGTTCAGCTTGGTTGATTGCGGTAATGTTCGTAATGAGTAGAGCCCAGATATTTAAACCCTACCAACTCGGTTGGGATGTGTCCACCCGTTAAGCTTCATTCAATAACACTCATGGTCACTCATGTAGATTTGAGTCTTCACATTTTGCTTCAATGTTTCATTTGGTTGACTATAATCATTATTGCTTTCTTTCCTTCGAGATGATTTCTTGGAAAATAAAAAATTTGGATGAATTCGAGGGTTACACTTTTTTGTTGGGTCAATCCGACTAACTCTTGAAAAATAGGGTTACAACCTTACTTTTAATATTATTTCGAAAATTAAAAATATTTTGACGTTTATAACCAATGTTAGTATCAATTATGAATAGTTAAGGTTTGATATTTGATTACTAACCTAACATGTAGTGTCAATAGGTAGGATTTTTTCAATAATTTAAAAAAGAAACACAAGCACTTGAACTTGCAGTAAAAATTAATAATCACTAATAATTTAGGGTAAAGTTTGTTTTAGTTTTTCCTATTAATCAATGAAACGATGTCGTATTAAGTCACGTGAAACGGGCTTAGCAAAACACGGAAAGAACAGTAAAGAACTGCGTTTAGACACATCGACTAAAACCCTAACCCCAGCCAACGTAGACTCTGCGCCGTCGTCTTTCATATATTAAGAACCGCATTTGTTAACATTTGCTTTTTTGATCGGAGGATAGAGAAGGCAGCTAGAGAGCCCGTCGACAATGTCGAAGCGAGGTATGGTTTGATCGTTCTATCTCCATTTTGTTCCCGACGTTCTCTTTATATGTAACTGTAAACGCACTAGTTGATTCGATCTTTGTTTTGCTACTGTTTTCATACTCTTAGATTTGAGATTTTTTATTGTTGTGTATCTATTTAGGTAGGGGAGGTTCCGCCGGGAATAAATTTAGGATGTCGCTAGGTCTTCCTGTGGCGGCTACAGTGAACTGTGCCGATAACACAGGAGCTAAGAACCTCTATATCATTTCGGTGAAGGGGATCAAGGGCCGCCTCAACCGTCTGCCATCTGCTTGTGTTGGTGACATGGTCATGGCGACGGTCAAGAAGGGAAAACCTGACCTCAGGAAGAAGGTGCTGCCTGCTGTTATTGTCAGGCAGCGCAAGCCATGGCGCCGAAAGGATGGTGTCTTTATGTACTTCGAAGGTAATTCACTACTTAAATTATCTGTCGTATTTCGCTTCCGATCATTTTTATACCATGTTATCTTGCGTTTAGGTTAGTTTGTTTAGGCATATAGTTATCGTTCTAGTTAACAGTGATCGGTTGGATTGTTGATATTGGATGTAGTATCGGCGGTTATTCTTTGTTGATTGAATCCATCTTAAAATTTGTGGATGATTTCTGTTCTTTATGTGTTGTGGATGAAATTTGGGTTAAGAAAATCCTATTACTCTGTTAGTTTAGTTTCACACAAACATGGTCTGTGTAGATTGTTATTGGGAGTAATTTTGGTGCTTTCTATTTTAATTCGATGGCAAGGGTTATTCAGAGAAGCGAATATCTCCATTTTTCACTTTGGATTAAATGGCTTACTATGTGATCTAGTAGTAGCGTTTTTATTATAAGAATGGCTATCGGGTTATGTGTTTAGTATCATATTGTTGTCAATTTTTTAGGACTGTTTCATGTCTTCACCCATATAAAATCGAATTATATAGTTGTTGAATAAGATTCTTTTTCCTTGTGCAGATAATGCTGGTGTCATCGTGAATCCCAAAGGAGAGATGAAAGGTATGATCTTCTCCTTCTTTAATGTATATAGTTCATATGTGATCTAGAAAATGATATGTAACATGTTAATCTTCTGTATTCATTTACAATAGAAGAAGAGAAATCATCACGCCCTCGATATTTCACTTTTGTTGATGTGTTATTTCTCTGGAATAATGCACCCGAACAGCTAGAAATGTAGTTTTATAGTACTGATAATTTTGATTCTCTATGCTTTGGAGGTGTTCTGGCCTTCATACTTCGTTTATTTTGCTTCCATGGATTTGAATGGTTATTTTCTTGGGTCTCGCAGGTTCTGCTATAACAGGCCCAATTGGAAAGGAATGTGCGGATCTCTGGCCGAGAATTGCAAGTGCTGCCAATGCTATTGTTTGACCATCAAATCAAGTGAATTGTCGTTTTTATCCTTCTAGGCTAGGATTATATGATTAAATTTCATTGTTGGGATTAACTTACTTTATCTTGACAAGAAATTATCGTTATGAGTTTTGGTTGATACTCAATGTGTTTTATCTCTATAGATGAAGTTAATTTGTGCCCATGATTTGATTTCTGGTACCCATTCAAAATCTCCCTATCAGAGTGTCTGCAGGGTAGGGAAGGAAATGATCGGGAGGAAACCTTATCATTTCTAGGCATTGCAGTGAGGGTCGTGGTTGTGGATATCGGTCCTCTCGGGAATTAACGAGGTATCGGAATTCTGAACATAAAATTTTCCCCTCACATAAGTCTACAAGAATCAGGAACAGGAAAAACTAGAGAAGTTTCCATTTCCATGTTTGTTTAATGCCATATATGCCTCTCTGATTGATTGATTCGTGATTCTTCCTCCATACGTGGATCGTTGATAAAATTAGATTTTGTTTTCTATAAAAACTAGGACATTCGATGAACACTTGGAACATTTGGAAATTCTACAAAAAAGAAAGAAGGAAATAATTATCATCTTCAATTGCATTACTAGATTTTAGAAGTTTATGAACTGAAGTCCATTGCTGGTCTCTTTCAGGAATTGAGAATATTTTTCCTTAATTTAAAAATAATAACAATTTGTTTAAAAAATAACTTTTTAGTTATTAAATTTTGGAAACATTAATAAAGAAGACGAAGAAACACATGAATTGAATTAACAATAAACTAAAATTTCCAGAAATTAAAAAATATAATTGTCAGTGAAAAGAAGTTTAAAATTTAGTAATTAGATGTGTGTTTTATTCGTTATTAAATATTTTTGCAGAAAGAATGGGGTGGAGCTGATGAGGATCAGGAATCATGTTATCTTTTCCACATCCTTCTGCCACACTTCACTCTACTTTACACGTAATTTACGAACCAAAAAAAGCATAAAAAAAAAAAAGTAGACTTATTTATGCTTTCTCTATCTCCTTTACTCTCTGCATACCCAAAAATTCATGTCTGAGTGAATTGTTCCCTACTTTCTTCTCCGCTGCCACAGCCACGGTAGGAGTTGGGTAAGAAATTTTGCCAAAGGGACATTGTTTTAAACCTTTTTTTTCCCCAGCTTGCAGTTTTCGGGAAAGTAAAAGGTTTTTTTTTTAATTAAAAAAAAAAGCCATCCCTTGAGTGAAAAAGAAAATATCACAAGTCGATGGTAGATGTGAACGAAATATTACTTTTAAGAGTGTCGAAACCTCTCTCTTGTAAATATGTTTTAGAACGGTGAGGTTGACTGCAATAGATAACATATCAAAATGAACAATAACTACTATAAGTGTACTTGAACTTTTACAAAATTGAAACTAAAAGATCTCACATTGTAAAAGGAAAGGCAAAATTTTCTATGGTATACCAGACACATTAAAACTGTTAAAACACAACAATAAGTATTAGCAGATGAGAGACTTCAACAAAATTCAATCTAAAATAGGACAAAAGGCCTCAACTTTTTCCCCCCTTGGTGCGGTTGGCGTTGCTGATGATTCTGACATTACCTCATTTAAGCTCTCAGTCCTTTAAGACCCTCTCAGCAAAATTGGGACCAACCCTGTCCTCAACTGCAAAAAATAAAGAGAAAAAGAAAAATCTCTTCATTTTCCCTTAATTTCTCTCAAATTTGGGACCAGATCTGTCCTTCAAGAAAAAAAGAAATAGAAAAAAAAAGGTATCATTTCAAAATCTCTTCCTTTTGGCTTTTCCCTTCATTTCTCTCAAATTCTCTCCAATTCTGAAGGCCCCAAAATGAAAGTTCTAGGGTTTAGTTTGTGGAAATGGCAATTCCTAAGGCTTGGAAACAGAATTGCAAATTCTGGGTCTTCAATTTCTTATGTGGGCGATTCAAAAACGCCTCCTTTGAGCTGTTCATCTTCTTTGAGACACTTGATTCTGAAGCTCAAGTATCAGTGGAAGCACAACTTGAGACTGCAAAAGAGAACAGTTCAGTACAGTTATGATCTTCAAAGCTATTCTCTTAACTTTGATGATGGCTTGCTTCATTGAATTTGAATTCTCTCTGTTTTTGTGGTGATTTTTCTTGTTTCTTTTGATACCCATTTCTGTAAATTGTGGAATAATGAAGGGTCTTTCATGGGTTCTTACCAGAAACAAGAACTCTAAAATGGGTTTGTTTTGTATGGGAGATAGATGGGGAATTTTTTTTTGTTCATGTAATTAACTCTGAGATAGAGTTTTTTGCATATACTTACCTATTTCTTCTCTGCCTTCCAATTATCAAATTTGTAAAGCGTTTGAAAACTTTCTTAATTTCATCCAATTTTGTTGCTCTTCAATTATTTCTGCCTTTCAATGTTCTCTGTTTTTTGCTTTCAATTATTTGCTCATAAGTTTATGCAGTAATTACAGATTCTGTATGATTTTTTTCCTCAATAGTTATTGCTTAAATCTCTCTCTCTCTCTCATTCATAAATGTATCTTGGTTTTTGCCTGCATCCTTGAGGATTGCTGATTTTCTTTCACCTAGACCGTGAAATACTAGAAGAGTGCTTTCCCTAACCGATCTGTTTTTAAATATGAGGCTAACTACGATACGTAACAGACTAAAGTTAACAATATTTGCTAGTGGTGTGGGCTTGAGCCATTACAAATAGATATAAGCCAGACACTGAAATGTGTGTCAACGAGGATATTAGACACCTCATTGTTAGATCTTACATTAGGTTTAAATTGTTACAAATGATATCATATTACTAGAGTTAGTCCTTCAGTAGGGTGTTTATAAGGTCGTAAAATTATACTGTAAAATAGTTTTTATAATAAAATTATTTAAATTTAAAGTTTAAGAAAATTGATAAAGTTTTAGGGGGTAAAAAAATTTTAATTCCCCCAAAATCATATCACTTTCATGTTTTTATTTTTTAGTACACATTAGTGATTAGGGTAAAATTAGTGGATAAATGTTGGCCCCTTGCTTTTGTGTCCACCATCTTTTGTCTTTATTCCTTTTGGTGGGCCACATAATAGACTAAGAAAGATTCCTTTCAAAGCTTGTAGTGAACTTTTTCTACCTTTTGTTTCCTTGCAAATCCTAAGTCAAAAAGTGCACAGATTACTTGTTTGTCTTCAACTTCAATCTTACCTACAAATTTTCCCATTACCATTTAAATGTCTTTTACTTTATTTGTATCAATTGATTGGTGGACAATATATTGCCGTCGTGGTTCGTGTGGTATAGTTCAATTGGTTACAATATTGTATCATCGATGGAAAGAATCATATGTTTAAATTCTCTCTCTACTTTCAATAATAATGTCTAGTTTGATGGCCCTACTGACCCTTAGACTAAAACTTATCTATTTTGTATTCTCATCTGTAACAATAATGTCTAGTATGAGGCCCCTACTCACCCTTTGATTAAGAGATTTAATTGCATTTATAGTCTTTGTATTTTGGGTTTTTCTATAATACTTGGCTCCACTATATTGCTAGCATTAAAAGCACCGAATAACCTATAAAAATAATTAGGCATGTTGGTTGAGATATATATTTTTGAACAAGTGACCAGGGGTATGCAAATCATCCCGTTCATGTGAGATCTCACGTTGGTTAGAGAGGGAAACGAAATATTGCTTGTAACGCTGTGGGAACTTTTCCCTAACAGACATATTTTAAAACCGTGAGGCTGACTGAGATACATAATGGATTAAAGCAGACAATATCTGCTAACGGTGAGTTTGGACAGTTACAAATGACATCAGAGTTAAACACCGAATGGTGGGCTAGTGAGAATGTTGGGCTTCTAAGGAGGGTGGATTGTAAGATCTTATGGGAGAGGGGAACGAAACATTGCTTATAGGTGTGAGAAATCTCTCTTATTTAATCGCGATTTCACAAGCCACCCTTCAATCAAGCATAGAAATGGGGCCAAATCCAGTTGTCAAGCACACCCAATAGCCTTTTTGTACACATGGCTATAATTAGCTCTCATTATCCTTCTCCTATAAATTTCCTTTGACTCCACTTTACCCCACAGGCTCTTATCTCCACTCTCTCTTGAAGAAAGCCCTCCAATAACCCTTCCCCCACAATCCCATCCACTTTGGCAATGGCAAATCTTGTGCCATTTTGGCTTCTTCTCTCAGCCCTTTTGGCACCATTTGCTAGTGGAGATTGGAACATTTTGAGGCCAAAAAAGAGCCATTTGGATTTGGGTGATAGCTTGAAAATCTATTGTGAAAGTTGGAGGGTTAATGTTGAGCTAAACAATGTTAAAGGCTTTGAAGTTGTGCCTCAAGAATGCATTAGCCATGTCAAGAAGTACATGACATCTTCCCAATACACCGCTGATTCTGAGAGGGCAATTGAAGAGGTCAAGCTTTATCTCAGCACTTGTTGCAGCCCTGAAGGTGACGGCACTGATGCTTGGATCTTTGATGTTGATGATACCCTTTTGTCCAACATTCCTTTCTACAAGAAACACGGTTTCGGGTGAGTCATTTCAACAATACTATTAATTGATATTGCACATTCGAAAGCTCTATAGTATACCTAAAGTAATCTATGATCATGTTTGATAGCGTTTTTGTTTAAAAATTAAGAACTGGGTAGTAACAAAAACTTCAATTTTGAAGAACGGAGAGTGTTATCTAATGAAACTTGTAGCTTTTCTTGTGAAATTTATGCGTAGCTTACGATAACGTGTAAAACAGAGGAGAAAAGTTGAATGAAACAGACATAGAAGAGTGGATGAGAAGCAGCAAGGCACCAGCTCTTGAGCATACGTTGAAGCTCTTCAATCTTATAAGGGACAAAGGGATTAAAATCTTTTTGATATCTTCGAGAGGCGAAGATCTTAGATCTCCAACGGTTGATAATCTCATACAAGTTGGATTTCATGGATGGTCCGCTCTCACTTTGAGGTCTCTCTCTTTTCTCTCCTATCGTAAATTATGCTTTAAAAGAGACTTTTTCGAAAAGGTGTTGACCATGAGTCAACTTGAATATTAAATGAACCGATATTAGCTAAAACGAGTATAGATCAATAGTAATTAATATGTATTTTTTACCATGATTAAAGATTCGAATTTTGTTATTAAATTTAAAAAGATTAAATATTAATACTTCTAAATTTTCAAAACAATTAAAAAAATTAGAGCTAAAATAGAATTGCATTAAATTTTTAATTATGCCTCCAATAAATATATGAATATTAAAAAGTATCTAAGATTTTTTTAGATACAAAATTAAATAAAAGTTTGAAGGTTAAAATGGTAATTTAACTCTAATTTATTAAAATTTTTGGTGATGATGAACAGGGGTCTTGAAGATGAAGGAAAAGAAGTGCAAAAATACAAAATAAAAGCAAGGCAAAGGCTTGTTGATGAAGGCTACCACATTTGGGGCATTGTTGGTGACCAGTGGAGCAGCTTTGAAGGCCTTCCCGCTGCTGATAGAAGATTCAAACTCCCCAATTCCATGTACTACGTGGCCTAATCTCAATATTTATCTATTTCTCATGTCTTATGTGACATATAAAATACTATATATATTTTTATCATATAAACTTTATTTCGTTATTATATACTTTTATATTTTATATTTTTAAACCAATATATATATATATATTTAATTTGACATCTTTTAATTTTTGTAAAGTGATACCAACGAAAATTCTTCTTTAATAGAATTATTTATAAGATCACGATATCTTATTAACTTTTTGGAGTAACATAAGATTATATTCGCATTTCAAATAGTTTACGGAAGTGAACTCTAATTAAAAAGTTGGGTTGGTGTTATATTATTAAATGGAAAACTAAGATGAAAATATTGTAGCTAATTAATTTATATCTAATAATTGCAACACTATGGTGACACTTGCCTTTTTAAAAGGAAAATAAAAAATTAAATTATTTAACACAATGAACTTTTATGAAGAACTTGAACAAATGGAATTTGGCAAAGGGAAACATCTCTATATTAAAGGAATCTGTCTCTTATTCTGCAAATTTTGATATATGGAATCTGCTTCATGTTCCAATTTCTTTCACAATATCCTTCAACCTCAAAATTATTTAAAAAAAAAAATTAAAAATCAATTGTTCATAGTGGATGCTGATTCCATATGCCCTTTTTCTTTCTTTCTTTTTTTTTTTTTTTTAATTTAAATTGTAATTGTTGCCTCAAATTTAGGTTTTTGTTTTTATTTGCTTCAAAATATCTTGTTTTGATATTTAATTATTTTCTTTTCCAAAATTATCCGCTTTGATTTTTTTTTATTGATATTAATTAGATTCTTTGTTTCCAAATTCGTTGCTAAGCTTGTCATAAAAGATTCTGTTAAGATTCTATTGAAGTGCATCATAAATGTTTGGGCTCAAAATTTGATATAAAATTGTCTCATACTTTATAATCTTTGAAAGTATGAGAATATCAATATCAATATTTGTTTGAAAAAATAACGAGAATATCGATATGAAAGACGGTATAATGGAATATTTTATTTTGTTCTTTACAAATCCATCTCCCATTTACATTACACGTCAAACACAATTTAATAAATAAAAAATTGGTGGTTTAATTACACTTTGTATAACTATTAAGCTCATAAAAAATATTATGTCATATTAATTAATATTTATTTAATAAACATATCTTATTATTATTTCAAATATAATTACTAGACTATTCCATCTTCAAAATTAAAATGGGATGTTTTTTAATTTAATGATATTAAGAGTAGAGAATCAAATCATTGATATTAATTGAGTTAAATTGATTAATTAAATTAAACATGATTCAACTAGTGTTCGATCCTTTTAAAATAGGAAGTGAATATAATATTTTAATAGAGTAATTATGGTAGTGAAAATTGTTTATTTTGTAATTAAATAATTATAATTATAAAAAATTGAGGAATAAATTATAATTTAAAAAAGTGGGCATGCTCATTCGACAAAAACCTAAAAGAAAAAACTTTTTTTTTTTTTTTTCAACGAGTCGTATTGGCCACTGGGACAAAGAGCAGAAAACTGACAACATTGAGAATACTCCCACTCGCAGCCTATCAACTGTTTAATTCATAACTAATAAAAAACGTTCACTTGTACAAACCATTGGCCAAAACCGAACGTGTGGAATTACGCGCCATTTTTGGCGCGTACAACAATTTAGCTCCGTACGTTTCAGAGTGCAATGACGACAAAGCGGAACCATCACGGCCGTCACCTCATCCGGCTTTCATCGGCTGTGCCGGTGACATATTTAAATCACCCGCCTGTGACCCAAGAGCTACATCCTCCGATTTCTCAGCGCCGTATCATTTGTGGTTTTTCGGATTCTATTCCGAGTCTTTTTCTTCGCGGGGTTCCTCTTTTTTTTTTTTCCTTCTTCTACCTTCCAGACGCTTTCTATTCGGCTTTTGGGTAAGAACTTGCACGTTATCCATTCGATTAGTTAGGTTTATCACTTTTTTTTGTTTTTTTTTGTGTGTGTGTGTAATCTTTTTTCCATTTGAGGCCGATTGTGAACTCGTTTTGGGATTCATCCACTTGGCTGCTTCAGAATTTGATGTTTTTCTATTGCGTAAGTTCAATTGTATGTTCTTCTCTCCGTTTCAACAATGTGTTGTTGAAGTCGGTTTCTCAGCTGCTATATAAACTGTATTTCTTGGAATAATTAGTCTCCAGGTTTTGATATTCGACTTGTTTACTTTGAAATTCTTGTTAATTTGGCTGGTTTGTGATGGTGCAGTTGAAGTTATAGAAATTTGATTTGAAAAATAAATTATGATCATAATAATTGCAAGTGCTTTGATGTAGCGTTTATATGATGTCAGCTGCTGGTAAAGATGATCACTTACAATTGCATCTATAGTTTTCGAGTTGGGTAGACTCTCAGGAAACGGAATTTTATGAGTATATTAGGAAGGGTTTTACGATTCATCTCCCCTCAGCCTGAATTATTGTTAAAAGAAGTTGTTTTTTGCTTCTGTCAGTATCAAATTGTTAGGTTCTGGGAAATTAGCTCCAAATTCAATCATCTAAACTTTGGTGATTGATGGGTCGTGTCATCTTGCGGGTGAAATCTCTTTTTATTTGTGATAACATGTATATGCTTTAGTTCATTGAAAAGAAGCCTTTTCTTTTTCTTCCGAAATGTAATTATTTTTCTCTGAAATTGTTTCTACTTCTGTCAAAATTGATGATTCCACCCCCTCCCCCACTGTCCATTTCTAGATGTTGGACTTAGAGTAAGCTGTGACTACTGAAGTAAATTAAGGACCAGTTATGTGCTACAATATGATGGATTGCCACGTGGTGCTTAAACTATTGCCGCAAATAGATGAAATTTGTTCCTTCCTTTGATTTAAGGATGAAAATTGAGGCGAGTCTTGTCTCATCCATTGCAAGTTCAAGTGCAAGGCAGCATAGTAGTGCAGAGGTAAAGGAAGATATATCTAAACCATTAAGAGTCCTACTGCCTACTTGTTTGGAGGAGGTATATCCTAAGTTGCCAGATTCTCAACAGGTTTCAATGGAACGAGAACTGGTATCAAGGCCACTTGTTCATTCCAACCATTTACACTCTAGCAGTGGAGTAGTTGGCAATATATTTTCATCTTCTCCAGGGTTTTCAACAGATCTTCACTACTCATCCGTTTCGTTTTATGAAAACCAATCATCAACAAACCATCCTACTGGTGAAAATGTCAATTCCTGGTGTACGGATGCACTGCCAGATTTTCTGGAAGCTCCTGAAAATAACCCTGTTGGCAATAGTCACGTAGAAAACAATAGTTGCAGCTCTCTTATGGTTTCAGATGAATTCAGTAAAGAAAATGATTGGCAGGATTGGACAGATAGACTAATAACTGATGATTCATTGACTTCTAATTGGAGTGACCTTCTAGTGGATGCCAATGTTGCAGATTTGGAACCAAAGGTTGGAGTTCTTTCACAATACTCTGCATATTTTTGTCCATTTGACTGGCTTAATACTTCTAAGAGGGACTTATAATTGTTTTGGTCTTGTTGATTCCGCAGATAGCGTACCAAGCATCTAAACCAGTGATAAAAATGCAAGTGCAGCAGTCTCAAATTCAAAGTCAGCTTCCTTCTTCTGGGGAAATTTCTATGATTGCTACCTCAACTCCCTCTTCAAATGGAGCTCCCTCCAAGCCACGAATGCGATGGACACCAGAACTTCATGATGCATTTGTAGAGGCTGTAAACAAACTTGGTGGCAGTGAAAGTGTGTATTGCCCGCCTTCTTCACGTCCTGTCTTGATAATGGTTATTATATCTAAATGGCTTTACTATTTCATCTGTCAGGAGCTACTCCAAAAGGTGTTCTAAAGCTTATGCAAGTGGAGGGTTTGACAATCTATCATGTGAAGAGCCACTTGCAGGTATATTTACTTCTACATGAACGAGTTATAATGAAAAAAGAAAAAAAAGAAAAAAAAAAGATTCAGACATCAGTAATCTATATGAGCCGACCCGTTCTGCACTGTGTGCATATGTCCAAACATTTTTTGGGTAATAAGCAACTATTCATGTCTGAACATTCCTGTATTCGATACTTTAAATGACTATATGGCTTCTTGCTTGCAGAAATATAGGACGGCTAGATACCAACCAGAATCATCAAAAGGTATAGCAAATACTTATGATATCTGACTTAGGTTCTGCACTTTGTAATGCATGCAAAGTTTTACCCCTGTATTTAAGTTCAATAGTTAGATCAAGATGGCGCATATGATTTGATTTTGTTGGATACTCTGGATTTAAAAATTGAATGAATTTTCAATGCAGGGGCAATGGAGAAAAGCACCACCTCGCTTGAGGATATTTCATCCCTCGATTTGAAAACGTTAGTCAATTTTTTGGGTTTTATTTTTGGAAAATTTAAGTGTATGCAGTTTTATATGTTCAAGCATGGTTCAAAGGCTGGTGGCATTATCAGTTTGAGATTCTACGCATTTGTAGTTGGACTTGTTTGTTCAAGATGACTGAGACTTCTAAGCATAGTTGACTGGACTTATTTACTCATTTATTGCTTTATTAGCTCATTCATGATGGCTGTGATGTCTAGGCATATTTTGTTCACTTGTCTATGCATTTCTTGCTTTATGAGTTCATTCAAGAGGGTTGAGATTTCTAGGCATATTTAGTTGGACTTTTTTATTCCATCCTTCTTTGGTTTTTTTTTTTTTTTTTTTCCAATTATTCACTTTCTCTCAGAATGCCAAAAAGGATCAATATTCCCCTTAAACTATTTGTTAAACTAGCGGATTTACTGTTCACATGGGAATACTTTTAGGGTACATTTGTCTAGGAATTATTTTACTGGGGTCCTCAATGTTTACGTTCTTCTTGTGAACAACCAATTTTTCCGAAGTATAAAATGGGTTTCCTAGTATTGATCTGGCTTTGCATAGCAGGAGTATTGATATCACAGAGGCTCTACGTCTGCAGATGGAAGTTCAGAAAAAGTTACATGAGCAACTCGAGGTATGTATTTGTTACTTTGAACAGATTCTGCTGATCAATTGAGTTAAATCCTCTCCAGAAAGCGTGCCCCAAGGATTGGCAACGTGATAATTCTGATAAACTACCTTGAATTTAGCCACAAGAACTCACATGTTCGTTATAACCTTTTATTGATGATGTTAAATGCCTTTTTGTTTTACCCCGTTCAATGTAGTGAAATCTGATTTAGTCTCGACAGTTATGAAGTATGATGGGAAGGTCATGGGACTTCGGGTTATGAAAGAAAATATCAACATATTATAAGAGAGATGCTTTAATTTAGATAGCAGAAATTGCTAGTTGGAGCCTCTCCTTTATGATAATTTGCTTTAGGCAATCATGGAATTCGTTCCCAACGAAGCATTCCTTGTAAGGGTGTGAAAATCTCTCCCTAACATACGCGTTTTAAAAATCTTGAACGGAAGCCCGAAGGGAAAAGCCCAAAGCGGACAATATTTGCTAGCGGAGGGCTAGGGCCATTACAAATTATAAGTGAGATGTTTTAATTTTGATAGCAGAAATTGCTTGTTGGAGCCCCCCCTTTATGATAATTTGCTTTAGGCAATCATATAATACTCCTGTGTGCTTCATAAATTGTGAAAGAATGGTATATTTTTATTCTTTTGATGGTCTGGTAATAATGTGGATAACACACAAGTGCCTGGATTGATGGAGAGCTTAAGAACTGGTTAGTCCTTTATCAGATCAGTCTGTGTTTGATGAATTCTGGTAGATGGTGTGTGTGTGTGTGTGTTTGTGGTCTGATTTCATGTGATCATAACGCATTAGTCCCACATTTTTACGACGCCCCATCCCTCCATTTGGTATTTAACGATTGTGAGGTAATTCCTTTCTTGTTCGCTGTTTGACAGATCCAACGAAATTTACAGTTAAGAATAGAAGAACAAGGGAAGTACCTTCAAATGATGTTTGAAAAACAATGCAAGTCAGGCAATAACCTGAAAGCATCCACATTGGATGAGTCTCCATTTTCAGATACGGTTGATGATTTCTCTGCCAAAACAGAGCTGGAAACTTCCCAGGTGGAAATTTGCACAGCCCGCACTGATCCATGTGATGCTGACACAATATCCGAAAATGTTACTAACGTAGAAGGCGGGAAGCCAGAAGCTCGGAATAGAAAAGTCCCCGAAAATACCGAGCCAGACGTTTCAAAATCTAGCTCCCAGCTATCAAAGCGCCAAAGGACAGAGAATTAGGCTGTGCTGTTTCAGGTCTGTCTTCTTTGTATTGTCCAAAGTCATTACTGAATCTTGAAAATGCCAGTGTAGGTTGCGGGAAAGGGTAGGTACCTGGTTTTGGCTTTGAGTATCACTTAGGCATATTAGATATAAATGGTCTCACATTCTAGTTTATTAGCAAAGACTGAAATCCAAGTTTTGGTTACATCATTCTCCTGTACACAGAGATTGTACACTCAGTAGCAGCTTTAGTGCTGAGTTGATTTCAATATGCAACAGCAAGGGTTCTCTGTTAGAAATTGCTGTCAACATTTGTGTAATTCAACCAAAAAAAAAAAAAAAAAAACTCTTATCTCTAATAATCTAAGTAAGTTTTTTGGTTTACATGCGACTACAGAAAGTACTGATGCAGATTACCCATTACCTTATTATAGTTAGAAATTTTAATCAGTGGATCTCATATAGAAAAGACAATTGGAAAGGAATGTAGATGAAGAAAAACAATAAGCAAACGAATGAATTACCTCTATGGAACAAAAGAGTATTACAACAAATAAATCAATTCAAACACACCAATACAACTCTCCAAACATGTCTATCAAACAATGGTGTTGATCAAGTTGGCAAGCTTGGACTCGTTTATTCAAACTCATACCTCATTTATCAACATCTATGACACACTCACTCCAAACAAACTGGTTTCTTCCTTCCACAACATCAATCAGAATTCAGTGCCAGTCTTACTTCACACGCATTTCTCTGTAGTTACCGCTGATATTAGACTCTCTTTTGAAAGAAGAGGCTGGTCCAGAATCCTCAACAGAGCTGGAGTGACTCCAGTATGTGCCGACCGTCCCGATAATTGGCATCTCATTGGGACTTCTATTTGGTGATCTCCTTGGAGGAGGTGAGAACTGTCGGAGCTCCTCCATAGTTAAGGCTCCCAAAATTGGTCTATCTTCCTGGTTTTTAGGTGAGTTTGACCCTTGTGACTCTGGCGTTGTAAGACCTAAAATGCCTGTGCTAGTCTTGCTTGGGGGTGTTGTAACTGAAGAACTCAACCAGTTTGAAAGGCTGGCATCAACGGCTATGCCTTGATCTGAGTTCTTAGGTTGGCAAGTTTTTGATTTGCAACCAAATGATGATTCTTTGAAACTTGGCTCTGTCCCATAAGAACTCCTAGGAGCTCCATTTAGTGCCAAATTCTCTTTGTGGGAAGGAGGATTCGACCGATGTTTATCCTTAACTTTAACTGCCTTCCACTGTGAGATATTTTCCACAGGCTTCAACACAGAATGAACACAGGCATTCCTATCTCGAGCAGTCCGTCTCGCTCCTATTTGAGGCTCAGCCTTTCCAGGACACCCACATACGGACAAACAGCTATCGACCTCATCAGCAAACACTTGAACAGAACTGCTCCCACTTTCATCATCAGAGAAATGGTCATACTCTTCATACTCAATATCATCGTTCTCATCACCATCACCATCGTCAACATGATCATGATCAAGATCACTATCAGCATAATCCAATTCTTCATCATCATCATCACTCTCCCTATAATTCTGGTACCTATGATTGGGAGGGTACGACGAAATGCTTGAAACAGTGGAGCCATCTTCAGAGCGAGATTTGCATTGGGATATTCCAGCTAGTTCCTTCTCCTCCTTGTACCCTTCCCTTTCAAGTAAGACATCAGCTTCAGCTTCAGCTTCAACATGATCAAGCTCATATGTCTTTACATTAGAATCAAACGTTACTCTTTTCCTAGTAGTTGGGCTTAGTTGCAGCTCCTCGGGCCTGTCCCTACACAAGGAACCCATAAACTTGGAATCAGAACCTAAAAAACACTACAAGAAACGGCTTATGTTCAAAGAAAAACAGGGAGGGGGTAATTTCTTGTTCGTTGCTCACCGAGCTTTCAGAATCGGACTAGTAGATCTATCAGAAGCATTGTCTACGGCGGATGGTGAGGTCTGAACGTGCTTGGAGATAGCATTAGCCTACAGTAAAATTTAAAATGGGATCTCAGTTCTTATAGCTCTGTTTAGTACGTCAAAGAAAACTCCTAGAAAGCAAACAAGTTCTTACTATAACCAATGGACTTAAATAACTAAAACCAACGAAATCGAGATCAATACAGATTCAATGAACATGTAGAAACCTAAATCAACACAATAGAGAGATTACCGTAGGCCTATTTCTCTGATACTCTTCAACCACTTTCAATTTAATCAAACAAAAGTTACAAAAAAAACCCTCATGAGCTCGAGAAAACTAGAAGATGGCTTACTTGGATTCGTGGCAAAACCTTGCGTCGCCTTTGTTCCCTGCGCTTCACGTCATCTGAAGAGCGAAAACAAGCAATGAAGCACCCCATTGTTAATAAAACAAAAATGGAAGACTCTCCGACTGAGATAAATGCTCCGATGACACTGAAAGGCCGATCCCTCTAATGGGTTTTCATGGTTGGATATACAGAGTAAGGTAGAGAGAGAATCCGACGAAGATTAGAGCATCCGATGAAGATGAGAGAAAGAGACAGAGTGAATGCTTCGAATTGGTAGTAAAGGAAAGGAGGGCAAGTGGGTCAGGGTGAAACGGTCGAGAGGATTTCTCCTTTTTTTAAATTCAACTTATGGGGGAAACGAGCAAACGAATCAAGGGACTGTCAGGACTCGGAACCCATCATGATCACAACCTGTAAATGGTGATCGAAAAGAAAGTAGAAAATAAAATAAAATAATATAATATTTTGTGATGTGGGTCCCTTCCCCTTGATGTCGTTAAAGTTAATATAGTAATATTTAAAAAAAAAAAACAAAGTTAATATAATAGTAATAATTCAAATTTTGAAGTACTTTAGATGGATAATTCGATTACTGAATTTCAATTTTTTTTTTTAACTATTTAGAACAAATTTGACCCATATTGACGCAATTAAGTGAGTAAAAAATATTTTTTAAATTAAAAAATATTTTTCTTTAAATATCAAGGCTATTAAAAAAAAAGACACTTAAAAGGTAGAAGTTTGAATATCTAACTTCTATAACTTAATCAGTGAGCTATTATATTTTTTTTGGGTTTTTTTTTGTCACGTGGACAAAACAATGTTTAAATATGAAAGTGGTCGATATTTTGGTAATTAAAGAGAAAACGATATTTAAATATTATTTTAATTATGGTACATTCAAGCTTGATAAAAATAAGCATCATACCCATAGAAATTGGTTTTAAAAATTATTGAAACTATAACCATGGAAACGATGGTATTTTAATAAAAATAATAATAATAGGCTAAAAATGGAATAAGATTCGAACTCTCGACCTGAGGGAGTCATGAGACCTATAATGAATTCAAACATTTATAAAAAAAAAATATATATAAAATTAATGAATCAAAATCGTATTCGCGGAACCCTAACCCCAATTTCCCTCCTCGTACTCGCGCGCTCATTCTCTTCCCTCCATTTCTCTCTCTCTTTATTTTTTCTCTCTCCCTTTTTTCGATCTCTAGGAGCTGAGTGTAACTCCAACTCATTGGCAAACACGAAGCAGCCCCAAATTCCGGTACCTTTTCAGTAATCAGAGACATGGACTCCGACGAGGGGAAGCTTTTCATCGGAGGAATAGCTTGGGACACTTCCGAGGAGACGCTCAGAGGCTATTTCGCCCAATTTGGCGAAGTTATCCAGGCCGTTATTATGCGCGACAAGACCACTGGCCGTCCTCGAGGCTTTGGGTTTGTCGTTTTCTCTGATCCTTCAGTTCTTGATCAGGTGCTTCAGGATAAGCACACAATCGATGGCCGCCAGGTTTTGCCTTCTTCTTCTGGGATTTATATCTGCATTACTTCGTTGCTTTATTAGGTTATGTTTTTTCTCGACGGTTTTTCTTTTTGTTGTTCTCATAATGGGGGTTTCGAGGACCATATTCTTGTGGGACTAGACCGTCAAATTGCTTTAATTTAGGAGCTCATTATTTACAGTGGCGCTGTAGTAAGACTCACTCTCAGTCTCTCACTTGTATTTCATCAGCTCATAATTGGTTTACTGTTATTGATCCTGGCATCAAAGTGGTCCTAAACAGTAAGAAACGGTCAGAATAGTTATTGTTTGGGTTATTTCGTCTCTATCCCCTCTTCCTCTCTCAACTGCAAGGGAAGTTGGAATTGTGTAATGTGGATCATTTTTTTTTATGGGTAACCTTCTCAATTTTTTAGTTATCTCCGTCCATTTGTTTACGTATTCTAAGGGTTCTAGACGGGCAGTTTCATGAGTACTTTTAGTAGCGGATTGAAACATTTGTTCTATCGTTATCATTCGTTTGATACCGGAACACATAAACAGCATCCTCGGCTGATATTGAACTCTCATGTGGTAATACCTCACCCTGTACTAGACATCGCCTTCTTGTTTTTTAGATCAAAAGAGAGTGTACCACTACTTTGTAAGGGAACCTATATGCTTGAGAAGTTGATTAGCACATGCCTTCCTGGTAAATAATATATTGTGGCATACCATTATGATTGTGTTGGCAGGTTTAAATTAACAAAAGTTCTGTTAGTCTGTTTGCATTGCACTGCGTGCAAGGGGATTTATGTCTGGGATACAAGGACAGTGAGGGAATCAAAATATATCGACTTGACCCATTGATTATTTTAAAATGCTTTTGAAAATCTTGCAACATATTATATGCTCATTATGATAATTGATAAATATTTATTTTATTTGCTTTCCGGTGAGTGTTTTCAGCAATTTCTAGTTGTGCTTTGTTGACACAGGTGGAGGCAAAAAGGGCTTTATCAAGAGAGGAACAGCAAACTTCCTCAAGAAGTGGGAGCTATAACTCCGGCAGAAGCTCTGGAGGTAGTGGATATTTCAAGACCAAAAAAATATTTGTTGGCGGTCTACCTTCGGCACTAACAGAAGATGGGTTCCGGCAGTATTTTGAAAATTATGGCCAAGTAACTGATGTAGTGATTATGTATGACCAAAATACTCAGAGACCTCGTGGATTTGGTTTCATAACATTTGACAATGAAGATGCAGTTGATAGAGTACTTTGTAAGAGCTTTCATGAACTGAATGGTAAACTTGTAGAGGTGAAACGGGCACTTCCTAAGGATGCAAATCCAGGAAGTGGTGGCCGTGGAGGCTATCAAAATTATGGTTCTTCTGGCACTAACGCTAACAACTTTGATGGTAGAGCAGATGGCAATAGATATATGCAAGCACAGTCTACTGCTGGTGGTTTCCCACCATATTCTGGATATGGTGTTTCAAGTTATGGTTATGGAGGACCAAACAGTGGTGTTCCTTATGGAAGTTATGGTAGTTATGGTGTTGGTATGTATGGTGGCGCTAGTGCTGGATTTGGTG